TTTTGACTAAAATATAATTTTTTTAACTATTCAGTCCTTCTAAAAACGTTTTAGAGGGAGACAGTGAGGCAATAAATATAAAGATCATAACTGTGAGTTCAGGAACTTTTTTTTTCAAACGGCATGAACAATAAGAATAAGATCAAACCATACCTAGGTCATGTGTAGGAACCAAAGGTTTATGTAGCTGCTGCTTTTTAAAAGCAGAAATCAGGTCGTAATTATTGTCCCTTTATTTACTGTATGAAATGTTCAGCAAAACATCTTTGGTGAATGTTCTCCATTCTTATCAGTTCAAGTTAATGTTTATGTACTTGTAAAAATCCCATAATTGAGCCAAAATGTAATTTTACCATTAAAAACAATGAACAGCCATTTGTTGAAACTAAAATGGATTATATTTAGGTTGTTTTTCACCATACTTGGCAACTAAAAATAATAGAAAATGTTGATAAAATTCAGGTAAAATAGTTGCTGTTTTGAAAGAAATTGAATCGTTACCACAATTCATTTTCCTACTTCTTGAGAACTCATTTAAAATTCATTTAAAAGTCTGACCTACTTTTGGGAGAAAGCAACACAGATTGTCAGAGCAGTAACAATTCCTAGCTATATTGCTAATATTAATAAATGGATCATTATTAAAGCGTGCTTATATTGTCAGAGGGATTTTTTCACAAAAGGAGTGGCAGAATCATCGATAATAACATTGCTGTTACTATTTTTACTTTGTACAAACCTAACCGGCAGATTTAAAACCTTTTTTTTTTTCAGACTGACACCGCCAAAGGATGGATCCTATAGTGCTGAGCTACCAGGATAGCCTGCTGCGGCGCTCCGACGTGTCCTTACTGGAAGGCCCCTACTGGCTCAACGACCAGGTCATCGGTTTCGCCTTCGAATACTTTGCCAACGAGCGCTTCAGGGTGCTGGGCGACGCGGCCATTTTCATTAGCCCGGAGGTCACCCAGTTCATCAAGTGCGCCTCCTGTCCTGACGAGCTTGCCCTCTTCCTGGAGCCTCTGGACCTCCCGTCCCGCCGCTGGGTCTTCCTGGCTGTCAATGACAACTCCAACCAGACCGCCGGGGGCTCCCACTGGAGCCTCCTGCTCTACCACCGCAGCTCCAATCACTTCGCGCACTATGACTCTCAGAACGGCAGCAACTCGCTGCACGCGCGGCGCATCGCCAGCAAGCTGGAGCCATTCCTCGGCGCCGGCAGGAAGGCGCTCTTCGCGGAGGAGCTGTGCCCGTCGCAGCAGAACAGCTACGACTGCGGCATGTACGTCATCTGCATCGCCGAGGCCTTGTGCGAGAAGGTCCGGCTGGAGGGCTCGCCCCGCCTCCCCGTGCAAATCATCACCCCGGCCTACATTACCCAGAAGCGGGCCGAGTGGTGCAGACTGATCCAGAGTCTGGCTCAGAACGACCTCTGCTGCTCTTTGTCTTTCGCCTAGCTCGTATGCAGAACAGCGCCCCCTGTTCTTCCTCCTCCCCCGCCACCGTACCTACTGCTGGAGAAACAGAATGCACTCCCCGCATACTAGTGTGTAACCACATATTTATTATATTTCCCTGACAGTCAAAGTTTAAAAATGAAGAGGCGGTGTGACGTTTTTCCAGTGTATATGCACAGCAACGTATCGTATGTAAACGACACCAGCATGCCTATAAACCTAAAACGTGTACATGCTTTGTGAGCTTGGAGAATGTGGAACAGGAAGCCCTGAATCGTTTCTGTTGTTTGGTGTGCAGCGAATGTAGAAATGTTTACACAGATTATTGCTCAGGGTCATTTTAAATGAACTGAACTGACTATAAGAATGTGAATACAAACTCTGGCTCCTGCATCTTACCTTGTTGTTGTGCTCCAGTTTTTTTTTTCCCCTGCAGTTTCCACAGGATTTTTGTCTCTACATCTGATGTAGATGTCAGACGGAAGTATTTTGTGCCACTGTGTGTGTGTGTGTGTGTGTGTGTGTGTGTGTGTGTGTGTGTGTGTGTGTGTGTGTGTGTGTGTGTGTGTGTGTGTGTGTTTTTGGAACAAAGGGCAATGTTGAGTGGAGGAATGTATGTTATGTTCTCCAATAGTATCTCACATGCAGTCTGATCTGATAAATGTGGCAGTCGTCACATTTTTGCGGACAGAAAAGTAGCTGTAAAAATCGCAAATTTTTTTTTTTCTTTCTTTTTTTGACATGCTAGCTGTCTGATTTTTTTTCTTTGTTTCTGTTATTAAAACTTGTTTGGCTGCAGAATTATCCGACTTATCTTCAGTTTTTGCTTTAAATGTTTTCCAATGAGTAGCATTCTGTTTGACGATTTTGATAGCGCGCGTTGATACTGATAAACACAGTAATTCTGACAAAGAACAAAAAGTTTGCATTCATTTCATCAAGAGATCATATTTTGATTTGAAATTTGTTTTTACAGAAATTGTACAAATTCCTGTGAATTTACAGGAATTCCTGTAAATTTTGATGGTTATTGCTGACAGCTAACAAAAAGTTTTAGTTCATCAAAATATTGCAATATACCAAATTTTTAAAGTAATTTCTGATCTAGAAATGTTGACATGTTAGTGGTTTCCACTTCTGTCATATTTTCTACCACACTTTTTTCCTTCTGTCTTAAATTTTCATTAATATGGTTGTGGACATTAACTCCATAACACAAATACAGTGACGTATTCAAAACTGGTTTTCTGCCTGTGTTGCTCCTCCATCATCCCAGCATCTCTCGCTAACACAGAGCTAGCCACTTGAACTCCAGTAGATTAAATTGCATCCGACTGGGTTCTTGTGCTGATAAGCTGCTCCTCTTATCTGACCCAAGCAGGGATGACATTCACTCAGAACATTATGAGGATTATATGAAACTGTAAAGGATCATGCTGCGTTATCTTTATTGTTAAGAACATATCTTACAGCTGACTGTTTACACAATGACTGATGAGGATTTATTGGTTTGTTCTAAAAGAAAATCCAAGCTTTCTTTCTGGTCCTCTGAGAATGAAATGTTCAGTCAAACTGTTCATCGTTTTCATATGACGTCCCTTTTCTGTGAGGCTTCCTTCTTGCGCGCATTTCATTAAAGTGTATTTTATCTGCAGACTGATTGGTGAAGTTTTCCAATGTTTTGGAGGCTTCTTTTAGGATCTTGCAGCTCGCTTGGAAGGCCAGGCTGAGGCGTGTTGGCAGTGTTCTTCACCGTAGATTGTTTTCTTAAACTCAAATCTTCTCTCTGAAGGCTCCAGGCAGCTCTTTTAAACTCAACATGCTCTTACTTCACCACCAAACTAAATGCTAAAGGCTTAAAATGGCCAAGTTTCCCTGGAAATGCTGTGTGATATTTTAGTTTTCTTAACCCGAAGACATTTTGTCTGGAAATAATTTTACGCGAGAATAAATGAAGAGTGTCTTTTTTTTGTTTCCTCCAGAAGCTGTTTTGGTGCGATTCAAATGGATATTTCAAGGCCAAGTCGACCCATAGACCACTCCAAAAGCAGGAAGCGCACTTTCCCAGGGCATTCTGGGTAGATAAAACCTAAGCAAACGCCAGAGTGTAGCTGTACAGAGAGAAAAGGCTTGTGGTCTTTCTCTAAAAACGAGTGAAATCATACGACCGATAAAATCCGACGCTTCGCCTTCACTCTGGGTTTTTTTCTTCTTTGGATTTGTTTGACTATATTACCAAATTCCCAGTTGTATTGTTAAAATCTATATGTCTTGTGATACATGTCAAAACAACTGAATATGCAGAAGTATATAACAAAAACATTTCATGTTTCCATTTTGTTTCTACATTCTAATATAAAATACTTCCAAGAAATGATATTTTCATCCCAGAATCACCTCACCCTGGGAGAAACGCTTTATTTTTTACCTTTTGCTCCTCTTTATTTTCTCGGTTAAGGTGGCAGCAGGCCTCCCTTCATGAAAGCGCCGGCTGCAGTACGTTTGGATCCCGCTCGCTGCACACATTAACTTTGACACATTTAACGACCCTCTGATGTAATGGCTTCCTGGAAGTCCTCCAGCTTTGTCGCGACGGATGGGCGATGATTTCTACAGTGTGTGACACAGATCGTTACCATGAAGTCACAGTCCGCCTCCTCGCTCACGCCGAGGGGGTCGCAGGTCAGCGGAGCAGCATTCCAGCACAGACAACACGACTCCCTGGAGGAATGGAGGTGGCTGCAGCTCGTCTGGCCATCTGCTTCAACTCAACCCCACCAAAACTCCCCTTGGCTAAAACACAGAGCTCCCCAGAAGCTTCCTTAGAGAGACCTGAAGGAGTCGGCGTCCCGCCGAGACTGATAAACTAAATCTTGCAGGAGCTGACGATTAGTATCTACAACTTTTGATTCATGACCAATTAAATTACAAAGAAAACTGGGATACATTAAGGAGTGAGAAAAAGAAAACTATGAGTGAATACTGCAATCACAGGACAGTGTCCCATGACAGCACATCTGTTTTCTTCAAGAATAAGGAAAAAAAACAAGCTACATTTAAAAAACAAAATCTTATTATTTGTATTTTTGGTTAAGTTTTTAGCGCAAACATTTTAGTACACTTGAAATAAGATAACGATCCCACAACTTTCCAGCAGGACACAAGAGCTTGTTTTAAGTCAATAATTTCTTAATGTTGATGAAAAGGTGCCACTTATAAGTGAAATAATCTGCCATAAATCTCAGCAAGCTGAAGAAGAATCTTCAGAATAGTTTCTGTATCATTTTAGAAAATCACATCTTCCACATGTATTTTCAAAAGGCTAAGGTCTGCTATGAGGCAAAAATTACAAATAGCACAATCCAAAAATCAGTGACATCTTGTAGCGGAGCATGTTTTTCCTGACGTTCATATTTCTCTACTCTTGATTTACAACATTGGACAAAGTTTCAGTGATTTTTCAGAATCTTTTGAAACAAGAAACTTTCAAAAGACTGTCGCTCTTCTTGTCGGAAAGCATCACAGAAAGCTACAAGGTGTGCGTCATCTTAACGTAGTTGCAGGTTTAATTTAAAAGCGTCCACAAATACATCATCATCCATAGAAAATCCATCAAATATCCTCAGACAAACATCATAATACAAACACTCTGAGTCCTCAAGACGTAACATCTTCATTTGAAATGAGTAAAATAATCCAAGCAACTTTTTACTTTTTTTTTACACAAATATTCGTAAATGTGATGAAAAAACATACAATTTCATCTAATCACTCCACTCTTTATTTTAAAGCTATTATTGCTCTGTTTCACTGGAAACAAGTGAAATCTCTGTGCTCACATGACCTTTGAAGATGACAACCGAGTACCTTTTACTGAAGCAAAACACACTTTATGCGACACGTGGCTGAAATGATTCGGACTTCATCTTGACAAGAAAAAGTGCAACGTTATTGCTAGGTTTAACTTCCCCTCTAAAATTAAACTAGTTTGCTCAATTAGTCAAAAATAGGTTTGATATAAACTCACGCTGGCAGCCATCAAAAAATACAAACATTTTCCTCTTGCTCACATGTCATTATTTCATCCTCAGACATCAACTCTTTACCATCCGTCTGCACAACCGAGCAGTGAGGATTCAGCAGCCATCAATCTATAACAAAATCTACTTTCTGTGTAGAAATAAATATACAGTCTGTTTGCATAGTCTGGAAGTGATCTTGGGTTGGGTGGTTATCCCAGAACCTTGACGATTCGAGTGGGGGAGGTTTGGAGGGTTTGTTCTGATCCTGGATCTGTGCTGGGGTGGCGGGGTGGGGCATCACTGGCTCCAAGCATGAAGAGAGAGGGTTTAAAAATGGAGGGCAGAGGTTACCTGGAGCAAGAGAAGACAGTGTTGTTAGTGGAAGCCTGTCAATCAAGCAATCAAACTTTATTTGTATAGCCCATTTCAGCAGCAAGGCATTTCAAAGTGCTTTATATCATAAACACAAAAACTCTAAGTCATGCGACATAGAATAAACAATACATTGTTATGTTTCAAATACAATTCTAAACAGGTGTGTTTTTAGTTGAGATTTAAAGAAAGTCAGGGTTTCTGCTGTTTTACAGTTTTCTGGAAGTTTGTTCCAAATTTCTGGAACTCTCCAAATGGCACGGAGACTTTTTATCCCCGTATACATAATTGTATCCTTATAGATTAATATGGACTAAAAATGAAGTAACACCAAAATCAGATTTTAATCAGTTTCATTTTCTCTTTTTTTTTTTTTTTGATAAATAAATGACGAAAGACTCGCAAAAGTGGCTTTCATTTCAGTTCCCACTCTTGTAAGTTGTACAACAGAGTACTGGGTTCTTGTTTCATTACAAGAATATTGTTTAATATCAGGAGAGTAAAGATGCAATTTGAACAGAAAAAAAAGTCTTAAATTATGGGGGGGAGGAAGTAATTTTAATGAGAAAGAAAAAAGCTCAGAAAGAAAGTAATCAGATATGAGGTGAAAGAATAGCTCCGCTATCGTTGATGGCGTGTGAAGATCGCTCATTGGCAGTCTTTTTTTTTTTTTTAGTAAGATCTGCCTGCAGGTGTGTTACCTCTCTCTGAGGGGCAGATTTGGGTTACTGAGGAAGGAGAGCTGCTGCTCCAGACTGCACACACGAAAGGCCAGGTAGCACGACGAGAGGATGAGGAGGATTATTCTGATGGAAGAGGAAGAGACAAACACTTTCAGATGCTTCTGCAAAACACAAAGGAAGAGAGCTGCAATGTGTCTGAATGAACACTGGGGGGCGGTGTTTGCTGTCCTGTCAGGTTCTGTAAAAGTTGAAAAGAAGAAAGCTAAAACATTGGATCTATTGTGTTCTGAATGTTTTCTACTGTCCTTCAAAATTATTTTTATTAATTACACTTTTTTTTCTTCATTCTCTTAATTTAGAAAGTCTTTTAGATTTATTTGTACTCATTGCTTTAACGGCTGAAGCAGGAATTCACAAAATGAGCGATAAAATAGACGAAATAAATTGAAACAATCTGAGAAAACGAAAATACATTTGTGATTGATAATGAACAATTGATTAATTTGAGACATCTAAGATTATAGATTTTAAATTATTTTGTTGCATCTTTCCAAATGTTTTTGTTGGGCTGTTTAATTGTTTCTGATGATGATTTTTCCCAATTTTGACTTCATCCTCCATAAATCTATAACACCTTTACTGTTATGTTTTATCTAAATCTAAAACAGCTGCATAAAACTGTACTGATTACAACTATTGTGCATATGATATGATATGATATATGTGCTTTGGGTGTGTGTTTTATGAGTGAATAAGGTGGAGCTCCATTTCTTCACTCACAGCAGGTTAAGCTTCATCATAAAACAAATAATGACGTGCAGAAATAGATGAAGACGGAGCACAATGTGAGGCACTGAGGTGAACAACGTTTCGTCGGAGGGCAATTCTCTGTGGACAGAGTTTTTCAGCAGCTCTGATCTCCTGTGATTGAATCACCTCCTATTTATATCAGCAAATTAAAGCCCAGAGTGTGTGCGCGTGTGTGTAGGTGTGTGTGTGGGGAGCTGGGAGTCAGCTGTTGGAGAAGGTGAAGGTGGTGTGTGCCCCTTCATCCACTCACAGCAGGGTGAAGAACTTGAGCAGCTGGTACTCCATCTGACCCAACTCTGCCACAGGCTCTGTTAAAAGACCTCTGTCTGTCTGCAGACCTCTCTCTGAAACACACACACATCATAACACCGCACCATTACCATTAGCGCTCCGATTAAGTCCTCACTGGATAAAAGCTGTCGAAGAAAAAAGGTTAAAAATCTGCGACTGTTGGAAAAACTCTTGTTTTGTGGCAAAATTGTCATTATTTCTTGGCTATAAAGTTGTTTTCTTGTTTTCTAATAACTGGACACCTGCAGGCAGATCTTACTAAAAAGAAAAATAACATCAGGAAAAAAAAAAAGATGTAGCCAGAAAAGATGTGCCAGTCTTTAGGTGAAATAAATGTAGCGTAGCGACTAAGGACTAATCTTTAACATTTTTTGACTTTGTGCTGGGAGGAAATGGCAAAGAATGGTGTGTTCACTAAAGTAGACATCATGCCTCATCCTCCATATTCTCCCTGATGTTTTGATTGTGACTGAGTTTTTTTTTTTTAAATACTTCAACTGTTTCAGTAGTATGAATAAATCTAATTTTCACTGCAACTTTCAGGTGTTTACAACCAAAACATTTCTATCCAAACTGGTTGCATTTTCTAAGATAATATTAGTGCCTTTTTCATTTCATGATGTTTTGTACTTATTCTGCAGCCATTTTGGATCTGAAGTGAAATTGTTGAGGAAACAAGATTAACAGAAGGTCAAGTCTGTCCTGCTGGTGATGTCAATAACATGCGCAGGTCTGGGAAATATTCAACATGCTGCCCAGAGCACCAAATCATTCATCCATCCAGAATTTTCCAGAGGGGCAGAACACAGTTCATGGCAGACGTTTTGTTGCGATAATCTCAACTTAATCCGCACGGGCACAAAGCTTTTTAATACAAGCCACCACGTGATATAATCTTCATCTCATTGCGTAAGAGAAAAAATCCGAGCAGAGATCATTCATTTGATCTCACATTCACACAAAAATGGGAATCCTATTTTGTGTCCCAAGATGGTTCCTGTCCAAATTTAGCAAAGGGGGAGCTAAGTTTTTGTTTTTGCTTTGTTTCTTGTTTTTGTGGCTCCACCTTTTTCTTATAGAAAAGTAGTGTCACCTCTGGAAAATATTTTCTGTGTGTCGTAATTTTTAATAGCATCGACTAAATATGTGCACAAAACATCGGAGACTAAATGTGTGTGTGTGTGTGTGGATGTGTGTGTCTGTCACCTTCCAGTGGCGGCTCCGTCTTGAAGGGTGTGTCTGCTGCTCCCAGGCTGCTGGTGGAGGTACCCAGCAGGTCGGGAAGGGATGAGGACACGGACACCACGGAAGGTTTCCGTCTCCATTTTAACACCGACGGGAACTCGTCGACCACGGGGAACTCATCCGGAGCCGGGAACTCATCCTGCAGCACAGCAGAAAGACGAGGCCGTCCAGTACTCATCATGAACATTGACGCTTTTAGCCAGATATGAAAGTGAAAATATAACTCGGTTGTTAAATATTTCCATATTTTCTTATTTAAAGCATAAAGAAATTTTTGGCAACATTGCTTTCAATTAAGTTTCCCAAGAGCCACAAATCTGTTATCAGGATTTTTCTTTCATTTGCTTGTTTTATCATTTAAACTATATTATGTGATCTCCATAAATTGGCAAAAGGTTGGCGATTATTCTGATGCCATATGTCCCATTATTATTATTATTACTATTATTTGCTTGTCCTGTTCTGAGTCAGTTTTTTTTTTTTTTTTTTGCATTATTTTTTGCATAGTAAATTCAGGTCGGATATATGGCCACCACAAGATTTCTGATAATTGCTGAGTTGGTAAGTGATACGTTTTATCAAATTGAGATAAAAGGTAGATTAAATAAGTCTTCCTTCTCATTTTCAAACAGAAAAGTAGTGATAAGCTCATTATTGTTTTGAGTTATGCAAGCACATGTTTTCTCTTGTCCTACTAGTTACTTGTTTTCTATGTTTTTTAGAAAACCTGTTTGAAAAACAAAAATCAAAATAGCCTTTTCGATTGAATATGCTCAGTTTTGTTCTGGAGAAACCAGAAGGACAAACCAGGAAGCCAACAGAGCACAGCAACACAAGGTGACCTCAGAAAGCTCCTGATGGCATCGAGCCGACCCGGGGAATAATTCACCGCACGGCTGCAGCTGCGGCAGAACGATCGATCGATCTCGCCTGAGCGAAGTCGACCCTCGGCTTCCGATCGATCCACGGCTCATAAAACTCATTGGTGGCGCCTTTTGATGGCTGAATTTGGAAGATTTTGCGGCATTTCACGATAGACTTTCACTCACCAGCGATAAGGTCGGCTCTTCCATGAGCTGCTTCAAGCTCAGACTCTTTCCGTTGACCTGCAGGGGGAAAAACACAGACGCCTCTTTATCTGACACTGTGCCACATGGATGGGGCATGAACTTAATGAATAAGTGCACCTGGTGTGTGTGTGTGTGTGTGTGTGTGTGTGTGTGTGTGTGTGTGTGCGTGTGTGTGTTCACGGACCTGTAAGTGTGTGCAGATCCTGCGGAGGACATCATACACACTGTCTCTTGATAGCAGGGAGACAAAAACATACTGAGGAGAAACCGGAGAATAACAGGAGTTTTATTAACCATCATTCCACCCACTGTCATGTCATGACAAGAAGACCATCAGCGTTATTCACTTCACCTGCTAGTGGACAAAATGTTTCCCCTAATTAGTGTATTTAAAGTCATTTCAACTGAAGTCTTTCACCTCTTCTTTGTTGGTTTTTACAGTAGCTCCCAAACCTTTCAGCCAAAAAATACATCCACACTCTCCCATCTTATTGTCTCTCTGGCTGAAGCGTCTACCTTCTGGTTGGTGTCCGTTGTGATGGCCAGGCCGTTGGGCACCAGGCCGGCCGTCTTGTGCTTCTTCACAAGTCGCACAGTAACGACAGGGATGGCCACCTGGGCGGAACGACAAAGAACTCTTCAGGAAAACGCAAACCTTGGATTCAACCTCTAAGCCGCCAGAGCAAGAAAGCAGGAGAGTTAAAAAATATATATATATATATTTTGCTCTTTTATCACTCTCTGTGATAAAAGAGCAAAAGAGATGGGGCCCTGCAAAAAACCAGCAGGGACACAAAACCTGCATTATTGAGTCAGAATGTGAGGAATGCGGCTTCAGTCAGTGGCTTACTGTCACTGAAACCTCTGGAGGTTCAAGGAAATAAAGGAAGAGCCGGAAAGGCATCAAACATCAAAGAGAAACATTTCAGAGCAGAGTAAAGCAAATGGTTAAAAACGTGAAGAATAAAGACAGAGGAGCTTCCAGTTTGCTCCTAACCCTGACTTTCAGCGAAATCATTTGTAAAGGTGTGCAATCAGCTTTGCCAGGCTGTGACTTTAAAAGTGGCCCGGATCGAGTTTCCCCCAGTCACTGTGAGTTTATTAAGCTGCCTCCTACCTTGATGTCCTTGCCGAAGAGGTTGGCATAGAAACACAGCCAGTTTCTGGAGATGTAGAGGCGGCCCTGCAGGAGGATGTCTCTAAGAAGAGCACAGGAGTACACTGACAAAAGAAGAAGCAAAGACTACTTAACCAGAGCACGACAGATAAAGAAACAACATGCATCCAACAACGCCCCGTAATTTAACATCACACAGGGAAAACCTCAAGCAATGATCAGGAAAGAAAATAAGCAAAAGTTTACTGAATGCTGGGGTTTGGTTTATACTTTACGTGCTGCCAAATTAGGATCATATACTGGTTTGGGATTTCCAGAATGAAACAAAAAATATTCTCCAAAGCCTGGAGGATGGTTTTCTAATGATTTCGTTTGCTGAACTTTCCAGATAGTTTCATGCAATTTAAAAAATGACTGATGCAATACAGAGTTTCTCCACTTGGGGGCGTGAAAGTTAGCCAGGTATAAAAAAATGTTTTTATGCAGGAACTTATGAAATAATTTTAAAAAAGGGATTAAGGAGTTGCAACAAATGTATTTATGCAGAATAAATTCGTTTTTTGAAAAACTTTTAACAATTTTTTTAACAGTCAAAAACAGTCAAATCAAACACTATAAGCTACAGTATTTTAAAATCATGTACAGTAAGAAAATTGGGCTAAAAAAGAGCCTATGATAGCTCTTTAAATGATATAGTCCTTCCAAACTTGAAAGTCGAAATGTACCTACAGTATAAAAACAAAAAGTCCTAAAATAGGTAAGTTCTGCAGTAGCACGCCAACATAAAACTGCAGAAACAGAGGTCAATCTGCTAACCTTCAGAGGGTCGCAGTCTTTTCTCTTAAAAAAAAAGAAAAAAGAAAGCCCTCAACAATAATCTTTTTGCTCCAAACAGGCAGACGTGCAGCGCAGATTGGTTCAGTTAGTTAAACTGAAGCCAAAAATCCACATTCTTCTCAGATCAGTGAACACTTTTATCTTCAAAAAAAAAGAAAGAAGAAAGCTGAATCCATGACAGCTAACCTGATCTGTTTTACTCTATACTGCTAACATTTTAATTAAGTCAGAAAACTTTGTCAAAAGCTAAACTCTGCACTGCAAAAGCACAAAATCTAAAGTGTTTTTGGTCTAGTTTCTTGTGTAAATATCTTAGTGTCCTTGAAATAAGACAAAACTAACTCACAAGTAACTTTTCTGCAACATATAAGAGCTTGTTTTAAGTAAATAATTCCTTAACGTGGATACTTTTAAAGATTATTTCACTAATAATTTATTTTTCTAGTGTTATCAGGAACTAAAAACAAGCTCCCATATCTTGCTGAAAAGTTCCTTGTACTTTAGTTTAGTCTTATTTCAAGTGTAGAAGGATATTTTTACTAGAAAGCAGACAAAAATATTTGGCAAGATTTTATATTTTTGTGACAGCACGTCGGAAAATCAGAGGTTGGAAATCTCTGCCCCAGTAATGATTTTGACAAATAACAATGTTGAAAACCATTTTAAAATCATATATTGTTGATGTCACAGGAATGAAAGTTTTCACTCCCAGAGACTAACATTAATTTAGTAAAGAAGTCTTAATACTGGAGCTCCAGGATATTTGAAACATCCAAAATAAAACAAAACACATTAAAAACACTTGCAACAAAACAAACACTTAACGAGATGTGCCACAAAATCGCCCTTCAAGGAAATATTTATAGTCAGAATAATCAGCTTATTTTAACTTATGGTGCGTCTAATTGATTCACTGATTGATTGCTTATTGCTACAGGAAAACTTCACCTAAAATAGCCTCATGTTTAGTTACCTTGTTTTTCAAACTTTAGAGACAAATTGAATTTTTTTCAGCTGACAACATTGCCACAACACACACACACACACACACGTATACACACACACACACCCACACAGTCCTGATATCTTCTCATCGTGGGTACATGCTGTCCCACCATAAGCAGTTCATGCGCACAGAGTAAAAGCTGAGACACGGTGACGGTACCTTTCATGAGGATCTCATCCTTGGGCACGCATGGGAACAGTTTGTGGTACTGCGAGTTGTACTTGCTGACAGTCTGTGCAGAGGGACAGGGCAGAGTCATGAGCAGCTCCTTGGCGGACCGGCCTGCCCGCACAGCGCCAGCCCCGCCGACCCCTCCACTTTCACCGCCGCCACCGCCGCCTCCTCCTCCTCCGGCTCCGCTCGGCACAGACACCACCCTCTCCCACAGAGGACGAGAGCTCTGCACCAGGCTCAGCACGTTGGCACCGTACTCACACACACACTCTCGCACATCCAAGGCCTGGAGCAAACCGCTGCAAGACACACACTGTTCCCCCCCACCGTCGCTGGTCAGTGTTGGGCTGAGGTTACCGGCAACTCGACATGCATCTGGCTCTAAGTGCAGCTAAAACAAACACACACACCTACACTACAGACTAGCAGCAGCTACGCCTCATTTTGTCGCCTCTGAGATCTTTTTCAACTACAAGGCTGCCTCTTTCTGTCTCAAATACACCTTCAGTGACTCTGCTGCTGCTCCCTCCCACTCCTCTTTCCTTCACACACATACACTCACTCTGTCCTTCAGCTGGAAAACACACAGGTACTTTCGGCTCCTTTCTTTCCCTCCCTTCTCAGTGCTGCTGTCAGTTTCTCTATCGCCAAGAACACTCAAGTCGCCCATTTCTTCCTCCCTTAAAAAGAAAATCACCAGATCGCTCCTTCACCTCACTGCTACAGCTCACCTCCAGCCTTCAGAGTCCCTGCTACAACTTTCCTGCTCTGCATCTCATCTATCACTGTTTCGCTCTGTCGTTCCGCATCGCTCCCGGTTCCCTTTTCACTATTTATAGCACGCGGCAAGAGGTAGCTCCTGTCCTCCGAGCGCCGCTTGCAGAGGGTTAGGATGCTGTGGAGGGGGAAACCCTCGGTTAACGCTGGTCTGGAGGAGTATGCTGACTCATTCAGAGTGGAAATAAGATTAGATTCCAAAGTGTGTCGTTTTGCTAAATGTCAAAAAGAGTACGCAGGAGGAGAGAGGCAGTTTGTAATCTTTTTTCTATTGAATTAAACCACCAAAGCGTTTGTCCCTCCTTGCAGGTTTCTTCTGTTTTTGCTTTTTTTTAAAAAAAATGTCTCAGATCATCAAACTAAGTAATGAGACTAAAATAACTTTTCTGCAGTTTTCAAATGATTTCTCAAACCGACCTGGAAAAACGTGAAAAGTGATCAGCTAATGGCCGCTCTTCTCTGCAGAAACGTTTTAGTTCGGCCATCTTGGAGGAGTTTACAGTGTGAGCATCATCTTTATGGTGTATGAATTGGATTTGAGTCCATAAGGTCCACAAAAAGCTATGGTGGGTCGGATTTGGCCCACGGGCCTTGAGTTTGACACATGCGTCCCACACTGAAGTGTGCTGGATTCCCAAAGCGTTAGAAATGGATTTTTAACCCTATTCAGACTTCAATTACTTTCTTTTTCTACTGTTTTCGTTCAGATGATGTGTTGCTTCTTGGGACTATTTCGCTCACTTCACGACACAAGATGTTCTGTTGAAGTTATTTCTTACATTTGAAGGTCAGGTGATCATCAGGCCTGAGTTAGGCTGGTCAAAACGTTTACAGCTTTCCAAAAACTGTGGCTCATCACAGTTATTTCATGATTTGGCATGAGGGACAATTATTTATTCACACAGGACCATGTAATGGTGGAAAGCTTTTATCTTAATGGATGAAACAATCATTTAAAAGGTTGTTTTTACCTGAAGTTTCACTTTTTTTTCTTTTTTCTTTTGGTGATCCAACATAACAGAAAAAAAACCTGTGAGGAGGGTCAGTGCTCTGGATTTGGAAAGATTTTTTTTATATATTTAAAAGAGCAGTACGTTCACATTTCACAGCCTGGCACTACTGAAGCTTTGTTACGCTTTTATTATCTATTTTTACTACATGTTTGTTCCAACCAAACTGGTAGAGAAACAGGACAAACTCACCGATCCCCTGTAGCATTTCTTCACATCTTCATAGGAAAGGTCTTCAATCAGCTGGAATCTGTGGTGTAGTAAAAAACAAACAAACAAACTGAAAACAATAAATAATAATGATGATAATAATAATAATATGTCAACCAAACTCACTCTTATTCTGTGTGTGGGACAGGTGAGCTAAAATAACAGATTTTGAAGATATTCCTGCAAATCAAACGGAAAATCTGAGCTAAAAGAGGTAAAAACACTCAACATGTACATGTCGCAATATCACATGTAGGAAGGTTCATTGTGTCTGGAGCCGGAGTTGGCATTAGCTGGACATGAGCGTGAGCAGCGGCCACGTCAGGCGATTATCTGTGCCGCTCTCTGAATAGCAACAGTTTCGCTTCAAACTCGCCTCCGGAGGAGCAGATGTCCCAGCATGATGCTCGTAAATTCTGCTTCCGCTGCAGGAACAACAACTCAGCAGATAAACAAGCCGGCACAATCAATCCTGCGAGGGAAAGTGTCACTGAACTGCTCCGTTCAGGTGTTCAGGGGGAGGCGGCACCTGAATGTGGGGACGCGTTGAGATAGAGGGAGAGAGAGAAAGAAGCACACTTGCTCTATCAGCCGGTATCTCACTGAAAGTGTCGGGTGACTGACGGCGAGCTCAGGGTGTGTAACGTGGCGCTGATATGAAAGCGCCGCCGCGGGAGGAGGCGCTGATAACGCTGCGGCCCAGCAGGCGCTGCGACAGAGTCAGTCAAGCTGCTGCTGGTTCCACTGGGAAGCTGAAAGTGAAAGTCACTCCTCAGTGAAAACGCATCGTATCAGCAGCCGGTTGCTGGGTTTGACGGTTTTACACCTGGCCACGTCTGGACTGGAAACAGCGTTCACACAAAATGTAAAAACTCTCCCCTGAAATGACCATTTATCTGATGAGTTCAGATTTTTGGGGTCAAACGTTTGGCAGCAGGTCTCCTAACTGAGACGTGTGCTTTTCTCAAACTTTTATGAAAAGGTAGAAAGAAACAAAGAGGAAGGAAGGAAGGAAAGAAAGATAGAAAGAAAAAAGGAAGGAAGGAAAGAAGGAAGGAACAAGAGAGAAAAATAAGTAGAAACAAAGACAGAAAGAGAATTTAAAAAATGACAAAAACGAAGGAGAGAAATTAAAAAAGAGAAAGAATGAAAGAAGCATCCAGCACTCTAACCATCTTTAACCTTTTAAAACAGCGATCTTGCTTACTGTAAATAAAAAAAAAGCGATCTGCCCCCATGAGAGGCGAACCAGCACAGCAGGAACCACTGACCCGTAGAGCGAGAACACGCTGAAACTCTGAGGCTCTATTTAAGGGAAACGGACAGAAACCTCGGTAGAGCTTTTCAGAAATGTCAGCCACTCGAAGCACTTTCTCGCTACATTCACAACCATCCGGCTGCACATGCAAACAAACGCACACAGTCATACACTGATACGCAGGGCCAGCTGGGGTGAAGTGCCTTGCCCAAGGGCACGACAACACGTGGCAGAGGAAGGGGCTGGAGCTGAACTCATAACTCGCAAGACCTGATTAAAAGCAACATGTCATGTTGTCTCCTTCCTAAAATAATGACCAAAGTCACTTTTTGCCAAAATAAAAAAATAAAAATAAAACCAACTCTTTCTTTCCTTAGGATGACTACCGACATGTCCACACCTGATAATTTACACTTCCTAAACTACACTATGCGTGTGACATACCTGGTATAATCAGCATAATTTGTAATTATTATACATTATGCCAGTACTGTTATGACTATTGATTTCAACCACATAAAAAATCATTTGGATTTGAAAAGGCAGAGCGGCATTAAAGTGTGCCACTTGTGCCATTTTATTTGAATGATTTGAAAGCAATGTCAGCTTATAAACACTAAACTGAACATCTTGTTTCCCCAACACTGGCAGCAGCCATCAACAAAGAGATGAATCATTACATCTATAAAAACAATATAGTAATAGAATTTTGTTTGCATGATTCAGTGTTATTTTAAATCTATATTTTTCTCTATCATGCTAGTTTATCGCTCTTGGTGGCCCCCTGGTGGCGTGGGGGCCCTAAACAGCCCTGGGCCGACCCTGTACGTAATGAGTGTTACTGTTTGCTACTATTAAGAATGGATGTCCTGGTCAGTGTTAACACTGGTATTATTTATTACAACTAAAAATTGTAAGAAAGTTATGAGGAGAAAGGAAAGTTCCTGGGTAGCCTTGCTAGCTCTGAATTATGATGTATATGTTAAGTAATTGTGAAAATGCACGTTATTCTGAAATCTGCGATTCTTTATGAAATGTCCTTATGAAACAGCAGCCTATCTGTCTCCACCTCGAACAGTGTTTCTGATGTGCCAGCTGCCGTTATGCAAAGCCTCGTCGTCCTCTCATTGCAGCAGCTCCGTCAGTGTCCTTGCTCTGATAGTCTGCTCTGTAACAGGATAGGATGACCTCTGACCTGAGACAACCCTCTCTGGCTCTGAAGTTTCTTTCCATGCAGCTCCCTGTCACGGTGAAAACTCCGGCTGGGTCCAGGAGGGCGGGGGCTTTCAAAGAGCGTGCAGCAAAATGCAACGTGCATTAAGATATGCATGACAGAGATGAGACTGTGCAATACTCAGAGAAACAAACCCAAGAGCTGAAAGACGAATAAGAAAAACACTCAAGAAGTACGTCTTGTTCAGGCATGCAGGAAAAAACACCCCTTCTCTACAAAGAATGTTCCACCATGTTTTAGGTTTGCAGCACACGACTTCTAGAACAACATCTCTTGCACTGGTGATCAGCGTAACGGTTTTCTGCCAAGCACGGTGGCGGAGTGGTGACGAGTCGTAGTCACACTCGTCCCCCATGAAGTCCTCTGTATGCCGAAGCGCTGCAGATTCAAAATGTGAGTCTGTGCGAGAGCCGAAGCTGCGGCTGGCCTGCTGCGCGACCGCAGGAGAACCGCGACGGGCCAAAGCAACGTTTTGAACAAGTTCCTCTGCAAATTGCACCAGAGTTCACTGCGTGTGACTGTGTGTCACACAGGAAATAACTAAATGAACTTGTCACTGCTAAAAAGAGGACGATGGGACTTCTCAGAACTTTGCATTAGATTAAGATGCTGCCAGAGCCTCTTCGGACCAGACGGTTCAGACGCCAACGCGGGCTTAAAGTAATCAACCAAACCAACATCGGAGTTAGTCGGGTCACGAAAGGAATTAAAAACTACCCCCTCCCTTAACCTCCTCAACATTTAATTATTTTACATGGCTTGACCCAGGAAAAGAATGGAAAAAAAAAAAATCCCCCTTCCTGGAAAACACATCTCTTCATCTTGTGACCGTGCTTCAAACAATGGCGCATGTGTGTTGCTCTTCCCAGCTTCCTCCTATAAATAGGCGGCTCTGCACTCCCAGGTGGAGAGGAGAGAGTGATTATGAAAACCCAACCGGCGGCCCCGCGGGGGGCCAACCGGCTCTCTCCACTCCATCTGTCTCTTTCTTTTTTATGGCGGGATCCAGCTTCTCATCAGCGGCCGACTGAACGCCGACGGTGCCGAGCTGGTGAGGTCACGATGCAGACATGGACGCCTTCAGAGGTCAACTAGTACCCAACGCCACAAAGTGTTTTTTGTCTTTTAACCTCCTTTGAGGATTGTGAATTTACAGTGTGGATATAATCCTTCAGATATGATACCAGGCTCACACAACAGCTCTTTAATCTCTGTCGGGTTTTGTTTTTTTTGCCTTCTTCTGCAAAGCAGGAGGTTTTGAAAATAGAAGCTGAAACGCGACTCAGCAGTCGTTCCCCGGGGAACAGAGCGACGTGTCGCGTGCTGCAAGTGTGTTTGCGTGCACACGCCTGCGCCTTCCGTCCAAGGATCACTGCGCCCTTGGCTGTGAGGCAGAATGGTGAGGCTAATTACAAGCTCTAAGAATCCCAAATTAAATCCAAAATTAGAAAGTGAACACCTCCCACTGGTGGCCGGAGAGGCAGCGGCAGAGTCTGAGTCAGTGCAGGAGAAAATAGGACTGAGAGAGAGAGAGGGGGTGAGACAAATCATTTGGCTGTAAACCTTGAACTCTGGGCCTTTAGGATGTGTCTTTAGTGTCTGGATTGAAACTCAAAGTTTTGAAGTTTGTTACTTAGTAGTTACTTTTATTTTATTTTTTTAAAAACACGCTATTACGCATGCTCATCTCTAGTTTCGGTATGAAAGAATCCCAAACTAAATCCAAAATTAGAAAGTGAACCCCTAAACCAAAGTCTCTGGGATTATTAAAAAGAAAAGTTTGGTTTGAGTTCCTGACTGCTCACAGCTCTATGACAGCGCTTTGCAAGTTTATCCAGGTCATTGGAATATACTCAGATTAAAAAACTATTGCAAGTGAATGTTTATTTATTTATTTTGTGAGTTATGATCTTTTCTTTTGTAGGCCGGCTTGTGGGAATATTTGCTGTGTAATCTTTCTGAAATCCCTGTTCTTTCAAATCAGGTCATCTGCCTGGAATGCGTCAATATCGACAGAAACTCGCTGCCAGAGTTCATCGCAAAGGATGAAATGTGCTTTAAAAAAAACCCGTAGTGGTTCCTAAATCATATCTTCTGTCTCCTGGGACTTACAAGCTGCGACCCAGAACTAGAAAGATTACTTCTCCAGAAATCGCAGGTTTTTTATTTTTTTTATTTTTTTGTTTTTACAGGATCCATGACTTTAAGGATCTGTGTTTTGTGGCGAACCGGTCAGAACCTTCTAGAACCTCCAGCACACGTTGAGGAGTCCGGACACATTATGAGGTTCTCGCCAATTATGAACAGAGATGAATGATGGTTCCATGATACTTGTTTTAAACAGTGTGGCCGTATAATTATTTAAATCACTCATTTTGACTTGACTTTAACGCGTCGGTCAAACAGAGAAACAAACACAATAGTACAACAGTCTCGCACAAACGTGCAGTCGCCATGTTAAGCTCCAACCCTTACAGGTTGTTTCTTAATGCAGATAGATACCAACACTTTCAGTTTCTCCACCTCATCCAGTTTATGAACCCGAAAGCTCCAGAATGTGACCCACAGAAAACACCCTGAAAATTATAGAAAGTAATGCCATAAGTCTGGAAAATCCTAGGTTACAAGTGACCTTGTCACACAGTTAGTTTTGAGAACGTTACGGAGGTAACTGCAATATGTAACTTTCATAAAAATGTTTCTCTCAGTGGTGCTAAAACACAACGCTCAGAAACCACCAATCAGAGCCAGGAGGAGGGTCTTAGCGCTGTCAATCATGCTCATGTGCTAGGTGTTCACGCCTGATACTGCTGTTCAAGCTTGAGACTGCTGGTGTTCTGCGGCTGTGCCAACGGCAGAGAGACAAGCTAACGTTACAGAAAAACTGTCCATTTCTCCAGTTCTGCGCCTGAGGAGCTGATGACGAGTCGCCTCTTAATATACCACCCAGTCCCAATCAGTTCCATGTAATTAATGGCAAAAAGTTCCTAACAAGAGCTTTTGTGCACAGTTTGTTGCCATGTAAACTTTGAAAAGAAATCTGCAAATTTCAGAAAATATTCTGTAAGCTCTGGGAACGTTTGTCCCGGTATCATGTACATAAAAAAAAAAAAAAAAAACATATCAGACCAGTTTCTGTGCAATGCCACAAACATCTACCCAAAACAAAGAAGAAATGTTTGCACTGAGAGGAGGCCCGCTCTGCTCACTGAGTCCTACAAGATCGGACCTGACGTGTGCATGGAGTGTTAAACTCCCTCTCATTCGCAGAGTTTACCGACACACGGCGCTTCAGAGCCGAACCTCGTCCCAGAACAGATTCCCCGACGCTAATCTGCTCCCGCTTCCAATCCTCCTTACGTAACAGACAAACATTTTGTTTGTTGGCCTGTTGCAAAACGTCGCGACAGATTAAAACTCTGTCATTATGACTCGTTGCTATCAAAACAGACAGAGTGTCGTTTGCGGGGCCTCGAAGGGGAACGCAAACAAGCGCCCTGCAAATCCTCAGTGTGAGAATGTGTGTGCGAGCTCGACCATTGTTTCACATCAAATGCAGAACAAAACGAGGCTGTGAAAATAAATCTCACAGGGTTGGAGCCCACGGTCATCCCACAGGATGCAGATGGTTGCCGTAGGGAGAGAGAGGGAAAAAAAACCCAAAACAACAACAAACATAAAAAAAATTTTTAAAACATGTCAAAGCAGTGAAAGTTGCAAAGAGCTGTGTGACATTTGCCTGAAGTGGCTGTGTGTGTCGTCGTCTTTGGAGGGGTCCAGGTCGTGTGTGGAGATGAGGCCTGTTACTTCGCCCTGCTCCTGCTGCTCGGTCATGCTCCTGGCCCTGGACACACACACACACACACACACACACACACACACACACACACACACACACACACACACACACACACACACACACACACACACACACACACACACACACACACAACTCAGCATTAACAGCAGGCACATCTCCCCCCCTCGATTCCCCATGTTTGGCTTCAAACAGAGAAAGAGAGATAGAGAGACGGTTTTTGGGTCAAAACAAGCCGACTGTCTTATCGCAGTGATGCAACGTTTCCAGTTGGATTTGGCTTGTTTGTAGTACATAAAAAAAAAAAAAAACGGGAGAGAAGAAGAAAAATGCCTACTTGGCAGAATAAAATTGTGTTCTGGTGCTTTTGGTAAATAGGTCAGTGTGTACTCGCGCCCAGATGTCTCATGCAGAAAAAGTAGAGCACCTTAGTTAGAGACTGTGCAGATGGCTGACCTGATGCCCCCCCAAACCCCTCCCGACTGAAAAACACACACTTTAGACGTCTCCAAGTGCAAGCTCAGCATGTTACAAAATCAGGAGAAAATAATGGTAACACAAGAAAAATCTCCAATGCATGTGTTTTTAAATTTTTATTTAAAATAATTTTAAAGTGACCTATGAGTCGGTTGCTAATAATCAACTAAAGCTAAAAGGAGGGGAGTTTGAAATAAAGCTGGGTTGTTTTTCCATCTTTGTGTTCGGTGTGATGGATTTTGTTGCTCAGGTCAGTTCAAGGCCTCATTGACGCTGATTTGAACACAAATCAGACGCCAGGAGCCGGTTTTGTCCCCGCGCCGCCCTCCGCAGCGAGGCCGTCGAGGACTTTCCACGGCCGGCGTTCCCAAGTGGACACCTGCTGGCGCTCCCACCTGGCCGCCGCACTTCAACAGAACCGTTCTGGCTCCAAGGCCAGAACATCAGAAACTTGATATTCAACAGTTCAACGCGACAGTGAAGATTTACATGTTAAAGCACTTTAGTTTGAGGTCGTCTCTTTTAGCCAAATATTTTCCACTTACCTTGGACGATGGTTCCTAGCAACAATTTAGATATGTAAACTTTTCCCACAATTTTCACAGTAAAACCAGAAACCTCAGGTTATTTTATTAACACGATTGTGTGACATGTGATACTCCAACACAATGCAATGTGTGCTTATGAAGTACCTTTATTATTATTATTATTTATTATTATTATTATTTATAAAAATAAACTTCTGAAAAGTGTGGTGTGCATATGTACTTCCAATAAAGTAAACTCCCAAAATCTATATAGGAAATTGAGCAGACATGTAAAATTTAATCAAAATATCAGCATATTTTGATTAAATGGTGCTAATATTGGTTCAGTATCACTTTTTTTTTCTTTCCAGGAATATAATTGTCAAAGTTTGAATCAGAGTTAGCTTATAAAACAATACCTTTCTGGTTTAGAAACATCACACAGAGCTGTCTTTAAACGTATAACTTATAATTAAAAAGCTAGTAAAAACTCGAAGCTTTTATCACAGATGCAGCCGAGAGGCTGTCAGAAACTTTAGAGGAGCTGCAGAGATTCGTAGCTCATGTGGGAGAACCAGCTGCTCGTTGGCAAACAGAGGCTAGATGTTGGAGAAATAAGCAATAATAAAAAAAAAAAATGAAATGGTTTAGATCGAGGTGTGTTGGCGTGTGACAGTGGCCTAGTCCAAGCTTAGCCCTGAGCCCAATTGAGAAATGATGGTAACGGTCTGAATTTGATGTTCACCGTTTCTCTGCATCCAGTCTGAAAGGCATTGAGATATTAAGAGCAATAGACAAAGATTTCATCTTTACATGTTCAAGAAGTTCAGGGGGTTGGATGCAAATGCATGCCACACTTTTTAGATCTTTGTTTGTCAAAAAACGCACAGACATGGATGTTTTGCTTTGACTTTCACAGCTAAGCAGTACTTTGTGTTGAACCATGATATAAACCCCAACCTAGTGAAATACATTATATCTGTGATGTGACGTGTTTACCTGAAATAAATTTCATACTTGTAGAGAACTGCTAGCTACCCTGAAAACGTCATCATAGGAGAAACCTGTCGTCTGTATATAATTATATAACAAGCTGACAACCATACTGCGACTTTTATGAACAAACCAAAAAAACATGGCTATTATGCCAATGAAGTTACCACAAAACTCTTAAAACTGATTTATTTCCTTCGCTAACTGATTGAAATGTGTTTCTGGTGATTTTCCAAAATGTGGCATTTCATTTTGGAAAATCATTTCGTCTCATTGTCAGACCACAGAACGCTCCTCTCGGAGTCTCCCGCATGTCTTTAGATAAACTCCAGGCAATTCAGATCAAATCTAAGCTTCCTATTGCCTCTCTACCATAAACTCTGACCACTGAAGGGCCCGGCCGGCAAACTCCCTGCAGCGTTGAGCTCCTTCCCCCGAGGCTGCAGGCGTCTTCGACACGCTTCCTCTCCTGTCCTCTTCTTGCCAAATCACTCGGGAGATCCTGGCAGATTTAGATAAGGACTATGCTCCTCTAACCTGCTAATTACGGATTTAACCAAACTGCGCGTGACGTCCAACGTGCTGAAAACCGTTTTTTTGACTGGCTCTTCAAGCAGCCGATGTACACACTAGTTCCACTCAGGTGATCCTCATTTCTCTGACTATGACGACATCAAAACGTCCAAACTTAAACTTATCAACCGGATCAATCAGAATTTCATTCATAGAACCACTGCAATCAGTTGACACATCAGAAAGTGTGCGGATGCTCTCCATTAAATTTCCTGCCTGCATGTTGACGTTTTTAAGGGTTATCGCTGTGGTTTTTCAAAGCCCATTATTTCCTCCACATCCCTGTTTTTTTCTGCCTTTCTAACACGGATGCAAACACCAGGCCTCTGTGCCGTCCTCTGGGGGCTGCGGGGAAGTCGCTACCACCTGCTCCTGTGTAATTACGGGTGCTGATGGAAACAGGCGACCTGCATGGAGTTTCCAGCGTATTAACTCTAATTGGCCAGAAGCTTTACGTCAGCCGCTGACCTGTTCAAACAACAATGGCTTTCTGATGCTCGGAGGTAGAGCTGACTGCTTATGTGGGATCGCGGAGGATTAAATGGGACATTAAGAAAAAAAAAAAAAGCTTTTTGTAATAGATAAGGTTGGGACCTGCAAGGCCTTTCCACTTTCAATCTAAGTTTAAAGGATTCAGGGATTAACCTGAGGGGAAAATGGGGACATAAAACATGCTGTTTGGTAAAAAGGTGTCCTGATATCAAGTCTTTACCACACAAATGTGATGCTTTTTAATGCTAAACTGTATTGGTCTTGGTCGGACTTAAACAAGAACTTGCATTGGGGCAATAAGCTGGGGCACGGAGGTGTTGAGGGTGGCGGTGGGGGATAAAATCAGGTTTTCTACGAATCAACATGTAGTAATGGCGCAGTGCCTCGGAGTTGGAAAACGTCAAAACTATATCGTCTCACCGTGGCAGCTGGAAAACGTGAACCGCTCCCAACGAGTTCTGCACCAAAGGGAAATGTGACCGACTGCATAGCACTAAGAGGGAATGTTCTGAAACACGGCAAACATATTTCACCTGGAGGTGGAAGCGAAGCAGCTGATCTCATCTGCCGCCAAACACCAAAAACACACCAAACGAGCTGAACTAACGCAGAAAAAAACAAAGATAGTTACGGAGTTTATTGCAAATTTTACCATTGAGGATCTGGGAAGACTGGAAAATTGCAGCAACACGTAATGTGGGGAACAATTATCCCACTTTTTCTGTGATGAGGACCAACGTGTTTGGTCAAACCAAAGCAGCCGAATGGCCGACTAACTGTCAACATGAACGTCGCATGTTGTTTTTATTTGAAATCATCGGCAGAAACCGAAATGTAACCGTTGATCCCCGAACATGTGAAATGGAATGGCGACAAGTTTCAGGCTCATGTGACAAAACCTGAAGGTCAGACTTTTGTGTTATCTTTTAAAGTGGATTCACAAGTCTGAAGGTGTTTTTCTCTGGGCTTTGACTAGTCCGTATTCCAGCCTGTGTTTCCTGCAGTGTGCGTTTGAAATTTAAGAGACTGGACAAGTGCACCGATAAATCAACGTGTTGGGCCTGAAAAGAACCAACTAAGCAAAACAAAAAGTCCTGCACAGTGACTTCAGTTGCCAAGTTTTCAGGACACAGAGACATTTAAATCAACATTTATCTGGGGGAAACACGACTTGGCTTGATTAAAAACACAAACAAACTTTATGGTAATCAGTAACTAACAATTTATTTGGAACTTTTTCTCATGCAACATCCCCAGCTCATATTAAAAGAGCAGGACAAATTAAAGAAGATCTGTAGCGAGAGAGCGCTGAGCATGTTTAATGCCGAGATGAAGGCAGAAGTGAGCTCAAGCAAGTTCCCTCCGAGGGATTCTTGCAAATGCGTCTCGAGGTGAGAAAAACCGAAGGCTTGAGAAATGAACCACTGCGAAGGCAACCTTTGCTGATATTCTCAAAGGAGCTTCTTAAACACGGGATGCACTAACCCACGAAACAATAACTAATAAACACATAAATAGCAGCAACACGCAAAAGTTTTCAAGCAGCATCAAATTAGACCAATAAACTTAAATGTATACGCTATTGATTTCCTGCACTCGACCAAAACAAAGTAGTGAATAGCTGCTGGAGGAGAAGGATGTACGGTTTTAAAAGTGCTTAAATTTGACTAGGCCTCTTTCACTCTGACGCCATCCGACGATCCTTGAGAGCCAATCAACTGCAACCGTCAACGTCTAAATTGACAGGCTGAGCGATTGTGTCTTTCCCTCCACGCCTCCAGCTTTTACGGACGGGTGGCGAGAGGAGACTTGTCAAAGCTGATGGGAAGACGTGTCGACACTGACAGCAAATCTGTTATCGATCGCCAATGACTTGAGGCTGGTGGAGGTTCACCGGGACAGGCAGAGCTGCACCGCCATGCCGGCTTTTTTATCAGAGAATATTCACGGACCGGCCAAAGCCCGGACACGACCCGGGTCTCTATGATCTGTCTGTCTGTGTCCTTCTTTGAGTCTTGGGAGAATCATTTTGCGTTGTCACAAGACGTCCTCCAATCCAATAAGCTGTAATCTTGTTAGAGGCTGTTAGTCAGTGAGAGGGTTGAAGCACACTTTCTGCCCCTGTTTCCCTGCAATCCTTCAGCAACCAGGTTGTTGTTGTTTTATGCAAAACAACCGAAGGCTCCACCGTCAAACATTGAGGACACTTTCAAAAAAACCCAAACAAACAAACAGTCTGGCCTTGATTATAATCAGTTACAGGTGTTGTGTCATCAGCCTATGTCCACACCAGCAGTAACTGACACTATCTGTTTACAGTGCCATCCTGTCGTTTTCCTGCAGTTTAATCCGACGTATTTGCATAGAAACAAATTGCAGCTCCGCCAGAGCAGCCGACCTTTCCTGTCAGACGACGTGCGATATCACAAACGGCAGCATGACAGGTGATTGTTATTACTGGCAGTGCAGGGGGGGAAATGTTTATTATGATGAGCTTGCGGTGGGTTTCTCGAACGTAGACAAACAACGGCGTGATCACAAAACAAACAAAACCAAAATAAATGCAAAGCAGGAAATGAATATCTGCCACTTTTGCAACTCTCATTATTCTCTTTTGTTGTTTTCTTCCCCCTCTCCGCTCGTGCCTCCTGTATATCAATGTATTTTCTTACCGCAACGCATTGTCTTTATTTGTTCTTGCTGTGCTTTACGGGAAGAAAGCCAAGCAAAGTGCAAAAGAGGTCCAGCCTTTGGACTCTGACATCTGCACTGCTTGAGGCCTCCTGAAATAACCTCCCCATTGTGCAAGTGCCTCAAAACAGCCTTTGATGGGAGAGGTGTGTTGAAGTCTGCACAAAGCTCCAAGTGCTAACCTTTCTGAAGATTAAGGGGAGCACAATAAGTACTGTTTATAGCTCGCTGGGATTTAAGGATAAACAGAAGTTACAGAAATAACAGTTTGGGGGAAAACAGAAACATCTTTTTGCTCAATAAGGTGTTATGCTGTGAAGTATAAGCTCCCAAGACAGAAAGTGAAATATTAGTTTCATTTAAATGTCATAAGCATTTCTCTCTTAATAATATATATATATATATATATATATATATATATATATATATATATATATATATATATAATATATATATATATATATATATATATATATATATTTGTGTGTATGTGTGTGTGTGTGTATGTATATCTTTTTAAAAATTTCAAAACAAATCTCAATAGTTTTGTTAAGTTTTGTATTTTATTTCTGAACTTAAAAAAAAAAAAAAATTTTTACTTTATTTACATTTTCTATGGCGGTTTTTTCCAGAACGAGTCTTGCGTTTATTTAATATCAGAATCGTTGCAGTTTGGCAAAATTGCATTAAAACCGGAACAAAAAAAAGCGTTTTCCTTCAAAATAAAACATAGATGCTAACTTAACGAACACATGCTACAGGCAAGCATATAGGGATATAATATTCCGATAGTGATTAAGTAACGCGCAGTCCAAAGAAAAATATTTATGCATTTTTTAATTTTTATTTTTTGCTACACCAACCCATAAATTCAGAAAAAAAAAATTTTTTTATTATTTTGAAATCCTCACCGGAAGTTCGTGCGGCCTTCGCACTAGCTTGACTCGATAAAAAAAAAACCCTCTCCTACCTGTTAGCTCTTTAGGTACCGCGACTCTTCCCGCTGTGTGGCCGCCGCGACGCCCCGCTCGGTCCTTCAGGTCTCGGTCGCATTTCCAGACGTCATTCAACGAGTTTTATCCTCCCGAACCGCAAAATAAAGACCTACAAGTCGTGGACGAGGAGCCTCGTCGAGCTGCGTCGCGCTCAGAAGCGAGTCCGTCTGTGGATGTGGGCCGAGCTTACCTATCAGCGCAGTGTGGGCTGGGGATTAAACACAGGCTGTTTTATACCCACCGCCTCAACAGCCAACCTCCACAGTCAGGGCTAGCATCTGTAGCTGAAGTGCTAAGTGAAAAAAAACTTTTATTTATTATTATTTTTATACACAGAGTGTTCATATTTGCACCCATGGTTACTTAAAAAAAGCACATCTGTAATCTCATATTATCTACAGTGAGTGAAGTAAGTAATAAGCAGGATTATCTCAGCAGATATATTACTTCATTCATACCATTGCTATGCATGAAGTCATGAGTAAAGAACTGCTAAGAAAGCCAAGAAATCACCTGAAAAATGTAGATATTTCAAAAAGATCCCCTCTGCTGTGTGCATGTCCATATCAAGATGATTTAATGCCCATAAGAAGGTTTCTGAGTGTTCTTATTGAGGGCTGTCAGACATAAAAACACTGATTGAAGTCACACTTCTAAACTTGTGGACCTGACAGCGAGCGCCAATGGAGTCACGATTCAGAAAAAGAAGAACTTTGTTTTGTTTTATTTTATTCTCATGCATCGCACTCCCTGCGCAAGACTCCACTGCAGAAGTTAACATGGAGTTAACTTCTGCAGTTAACTCCACATTAACTGCAGAAGATTAGGACATGTCAGTGAAGCACTGAGAATATGTAGTTGGTTATTTAAAAAAACATAACAAAAAAAAAATCAAATCTATATTTTGAGCAATGAGGTTCTGCATGGCATCTTTAAAAAATAAATAAAAAAAAAACTTGTATCCGGTTGAAAATATGCAAACAACAACAAGAACCCTCTCTGAAAATCAGAGTGCATGGAGTCTTCAAGGCGTGAGAGCAGTTTCTGAGGAAGGAAGGCGCTTCATGCAGGAGTGATGACGCGTTTCATATTAACACGTTAAAAATCCCAGATTCCCATCGACAAAAGAAGCGGATCAGACGAAGCCCAGAGACGTGATGGACGCTGCTATTTACAGTGCAGTGAAGCTGGAGCAGGCAGTACACAGACAGGTTGACCGTAAACACAATTAGCGCAGGGCTTGCAGACTAAACCAAACCCAATCATCAGCCCCCTTCTGTACCTGTACGCTTTGAATTAGCATTGAAGCCACAGCTTGGAATGAGAATCCCAATAACTTTTGGCCAAATATGCTAAATACCTGAGCAACATTTTAAAATATAAAGGTAATTATATTAGGAATCATGGCATTAGCCTATCATGCAAAATAGGCATAAATTTCTAAATATAGCCACGAATGGTGTAAAAAAAATTTTATTTTTTTTTTTGTTGGTATGTTTTACTGAAACAAAAGCTATTTTGCTTTTTGTGGCTCTAACATTTCGCTCAGCTGGACCACGAGTCAAAATTTCTCAGGCTCCCAAAGGTCGCTGACCCCTGGCTTTTGGATTAACCCAAACTAAAGAAGTGGCACAGTCACAGCATGAATAACTCAATCTAATGTTTTGGTACAGTAATGAATCATTGGAATTTCATGGGGGAATAGATACACTTTTGATTATTCTGACAACATTCAAAAGCTGGTCATTTTGTATCTGATCCCCTGCAGCCTGGAAGGAGATGAATCATTTCCCTCCTCACAGCACTGCGGCGCAAACCACAGGAATCTTTTGACTCCATGCCGGCACCTCTGTGAGGGCCTAGTTAAAGCTCAACAAAGCCGACGCTCGAGCAACAAAATGCTGCCATGATAATTATGTCTTTTTGTCGTAGTCACTTCCACAAGGCAGTGACATGGCGCGTTGTGCAAGTGTTAACAGACGCGTGACTTTGCGAAAGAAACCTGTAGCGCATTGAGCAGCCGTGTTGCACACGAACTGAAAACTGTTGCACAGCCTGGTTTTATGAATAACATGGAAAGAGCCTCGAGTTTTCAGCTAAAAGCAGGGAGGCATCTGGAGGGAACGACGTTTTCCCGCCAGATGCCTCCACTTCTACTCGTACATCCCAGTAGCAATATTCCTAAGGGTTTAGCATAAAACCAGCTCTGTTGATGTTATAACAAAGGGTTAATAATAAAATGCCCTGGACAAAAATAGATCAAAATAATAATAAAAATTCTTTGTAGTCTTGAGATGTGCAATTAGTTTTCACTTTCTACTGATGTTTGAACTGCAGGGGTAACAGAAATCATGTGAGGAAATAGTCAAACTGTGACACACACACATGCACACACACACGCGCACAAACACACACACACGTGACAGACTGACGTCCTCTCAGTGCGTTCCTCTGTTTCAGTGATTTTAATCCATTCATATCTCGCCGTTTTCTATCTCTAGAGCTTCTCAGTCATGACTCTCAGGAAAAACAAAGGAAATGCAGAAACATCCTGCTTTTAGAGCTGTATTTCCATCACTAACTTTACACCAATTTAAAAAGATTTCTATCTAATTTACTTGAAACCCCCCCCCCAAACAAACAAATCTATGCCATAGTGAGCACCAGCAGTGTGCTCCGTGGTTCAGTTTTACGCCCGATGTGGACTTCCTGTGTTGCGTTCACTGACCTGGCTCTGCAGGCTGCTATCCTCTGACTGCAGTTACCATAAGGATGGCTGTAGTGGGGGAGCTGGTAGTATCTGTCCTGGCCCTGGGCCTCGTCGGCAGGCAGAGCCTTAGGGCTGGCCGCATAGATAGTGCATCCCATGAACACCTCTTGGAAGTCGCCCTCGGTGTCCGACGAGCAGCTGGCGGGCGCCGGTGTCCTCCAGGTATCCTTCCTGTGAGCGGCCTGTCCTGTCCTGATGCCAGCCAGCTGCTCAATGGAAAAGCCATTGGCTCAGCACATTGGTATCTTTAGGCCCTCCTCCTCCTCTTCCTCCTCCTCCTTTTATTCCCTCCCTTCTGCCGAGCCCAGAGCGGGGAGGATAATCAGATTCCCCCCCACATTTACACTCAACAAAATCATCCCTGGCGTAATCACTCCCCGTCACCGATGTTGCATTATACTAATGCACGGAGCCGAGTCACATCAGGGGCATTGGGGGCAGTTAAAAATACCCCAAGCTGCCTCATGCCAGTGAACGCCACATCAGACCCAGCTGGGGCCGGGATAGAGAAGGAGCTGGAGACAGCTGGGTCACAACGGACATGAGACATGTTGAAAATGAAGGAGCAGGGGGAGGGGATTGTTAAACTTGACAGGTTTTCTGTTTTTTTCCCAATGCAAAAATAGTAAAAAAAGACACTCAAAAACATAACCGTTTCATTTCAAAATGATTTACTGAAGAAAACTTTTGTTTAAATCACTGACTGTATTCTCCTTCCATGACTTTTGCAGACAGGCCGTCGTCGTCCAGGTGTTTCTGACGATCCTCCTGGCTGCTTCCTCACAAACTCCAGAGTCCAGAAAAACCACTGCTCAAGAAGCAACTTGACACAAGGAATGACTCCATGGAAGCAAGAGCTGAAGAAATGGTGGAGATTTCATACTTTGAAAAACTACATGCAACGTAATATGTAGAATATTTCAGGAATGAAATTTTATACAGTTGTTCAAGTATTTTAACCTCAAACTTCAGCCTGATGTTTGTCGTAGTGACCAGCCTGACAAAAACACTGCTTGAAACTGGTAGACAGAGCGACCTCTTCAAAGACAGACCGACCTGTTCACAGACAGACCGACCTGTTCACAGACAGACCACCGGCCTCCTGTTCACAGGAGGCCTGTGAACAGGTCTTTTCTGCTCTGTGATTGGCGTTTTCTTGTGTTTGTAACAAAACCCTGAGAAAAATAAAGCTTTACGTCGACTACTCTAGTAGTGTTTAATTAGCAGCAGGGTATAAATGGCTCTGGAGCAATGTTCCCTCTAATTGTTCATGTGTCTGGGCGTACACACAAGCTTCCTGGGCACACTGAGGACCACTGTGAGCATCATCAGTGTACACGGCGTGGCCACGCACAAGTATCATAAATCTGTGATCATAGAAAGTTGCATGGCTTATTAAAAAAATCTAATTACATCAGCCATTTTCATTCGTTTGCTTTTAATTTCAGTGATTTGCTCAATTAAAATAAAAAAAAAGGAAAGAAAACATTGCTGTTCATGAGATGCATGCTATAAGTAAGAGTCCTGCTTCAGCCAGGGTGAGAAATGAGACATTACACTTTTCAGACATAAATGTTTGTTCATATTAAAACATTCACATTTGCACAATAAAATGTTTTCTGTAGCTTGTGATGCAGTATAAATTCTTGTAAAATATTTAATTAGTTTTTTTCACGTCTGCCCTTCTCACTTCTTCTCACTTCTCCAGTGGTTGTTCACTTAGCCCAGGTTGATGGTCAGTCTGCTTCTTGCTTTATCTACTTGAATTCAGCATATTGACTGTTAATGGCCTCCATAATCTGTGAGTGGAGGAGAATGGCCTCATACTTCTTTGCCAGTGTACAAATGTCTGCTTATCCATAGTCAAAAGTCTGAACTCAACATTTCAATATCAATTGCAGACCATTCCTTTCATTTGATTTGATTCCATTTGAAAGAAGTGCATTTCTGTTTTTTTTTTTACTTTGGCTTGGTGAGTGGATGTCCCACGTAGATGATAAGGTGATGGCTTTCACGTTTCTTAACTCTACCGCACTATTCTCACCTGCACGGCGCATATGACCAAGGCACGTAACCCACGTACACACTTTCGCTGCGTAGCGAAAGTGAACCGTATCGTATCATTGGCTGGATTCCTGTCACTCACTGAGTTCGATCGCAAAGTAGTACGGAAAAAAATTTTATTGGTCCATAGTCAAAACTGATGTCTGAGCTCAATGTCCACTTTACGTTGGACTTTATTTTATGCGCTACATAGATTTTCTTGTGCGCTGAGAATATGTGAGCAGTGCGCGATTGCGCAGGCGCGCAGTTTAGAGGGAACGTAGATCGTGACGTAAATCTACAAATTATTGTGAAAACAATACCTGATTACTACAGCTGCACTTTATATATTGAAATAAACATTTAATTTGAACCGTTAAATCGTTTTTAGTGAACTACAATTTTTAATCTGCTGTATTTCTTTAAATTCACATTCATAATCTTCCTGCATAATTTCTAGATCGTTCCTCTTTAGGTAAAAAAAAAAGAATTTTGATTTTGATTCTGTTCAGCTGAATTAAGTTTTGGCACATCCACATTGTTTAGTTTCTGTTCGATGCCTGAATGATTCAACGTTAATGAAACGGATCAGGTATGTCCCAGTGTGAGACGTAAGAAATCGCTGATTGCTCTGCGGCTCGTTTTTACTTTCAATCGGAAGTCATTCTGGCTTTAACGTGTTTTTTTAACAACATGAACGTTCTTGGTGATATAAAAACGCTTTCATTAATGTCATTGTGTTTTTGTTCATGTTATAGAGCTTTTGTAATTATCGTTTCAATTTGAACCTCAGGCCACCGTACAGCCTGGAGCCAGGCTGGGGCGCTTTGGGAGCCCCTGGTGGCCAGTGGCTGATATGACAATAAAGAACCTTTAATCTGAACAATATCAAACTATTTGTGCATCGAGAAATACACTTAGCATACTAAGGTAAATGTTATTTAATTTGGTTAAGAATAATTATCGTACTATCAATAAATGACTTCTAATGCATGTTGTTAGTTGCCAGAGCAACAATAACACCTTTATCAGCTCAGAGGTTCAAACTGATGAAAAGTGAGGATGGATGCTCTCTACTAAAGTATTCCTCGCCATCTTCCATGTTCTATCAGCAAACAGTGGAGACAGAGTTGTTTTTGGTTTCTCCACCATTGACCTGCTACTTTACCCGCCATTGAAAGTTTTATTAAAGTTTGTCTGCTAGTCTGCAGCTCATGTGACCAAAGCAGGCGAGGAGGTGAAAGGTTAAAACAGTCAACATTGTCTTGTTGGGAAACCCCAAGATCACTGGGAGTCTTAAAAGATACATTTGATTATTTTAGTTCATTATCTCCAAAGAGTGATGCTGCAAAGTCTGAGCAATCGCAAACGGACTGATTAGTGTGAAAAGACGTTCAATATTATTTTATTTTAAACACTTATTGAATGCTGAAACACCTATTCATTGATATTTTAACAATTGAATTGGTTTTTATCAATGCAACCTGGCACAACATTCAGATTTTTGATCTGGGCCCAAATGGAAATGAGTTTGATGTCCCTGACATAAGACAAGAGACTCATGGACTATTTGACTGTAAACAAGATATTTGGAGGGTGGAATGATGTCACACCCCCAGCAAAGGGAGATTCTGTGATGTCACTGGCGATGCCATCTTTGATGTCATCAACTGCAGAATTGTATGTAACACAATTCTGCATATTTGTCATTGCTCGCAATACTACTGACCAGTTCAGACGCTCGCAAACCCCTTAAGATACTTTATCGACGATTTTATTGATAGTGTTTGAGAAAATGTCTCAGCAAAATGCAAAATCAACGATGATGGGATTTAATCCAAGGAGGGGAAACCACCAACACCCCAAGGCAGGAGCTCTACTGCCAACCTGATGATATGGAAAGAGAGATCCATCGACTGAACGGCCTTTTGAACAAGGAAAAGGCCAAAAGGATTGCAGTGAGAGAGAAACTGGAGGAAGAGCTCCAAGAAATGGAGTTTCAACTGAAAAAGCAGGAGGAACTAAAAGTTGGCTATTTTGATCAGGCTTGCAAAGCGAAGGCCGAACTGGAAAGGCTGAGAAGTTCAGAGACGTGGAAGTCCTGAAATTAGATGTGATAGCTTCTCAGGCTCAGCTTGAAATCAAAGATATGGATAAGGAGGAAATACAGCAGAAATATGAACAAGTGAGGGTCTCCTGCTTTCACACAGTTGAAGCATTTATGGACGAACTGCATAAAGAGAGAGAGAGAGAAGAAGAATAAAGAAGAAATAAGGAGCTCAAGGTCCAGGACAATGCTAAATATGCGGACATGATAAAGAGGAGGGAAGAGACCAAGTCACAAACATTTTACGAGGAAAAGATTAGTGAAAAGCAGCAATTACTGGATATTGTGAAAACAGAGATGGAAACGATGAGGGTAGAAATGATAGAAAAAATTGAGTCAATGCAAGAATCAGAACAACTTTTACAGAGAGAATTGGAGGAATCTAAAAAATCGTATCATGATCTGACTTTGGTCCATGAGAAAGAAATCGCAATCCTGAAACTAGACCTGGAGCGATGCCAACAGGAGCTAAGGCAAGAGAAAGAAGATCATTTAGAAAACCTTGGAAAAAATAAGGAGCTGACCGACGAAACTGAAAGCCCAGAAAGAAAGTGGAGAGATCCTGAGGAAGCAAATAACAGAAGACAGAAGATTATTCCTGGAGAAGACAGAGGAGAAAAAGAAGCTCATCGACATATTGGAAATGAAAAAAACTGTCCTGCAGAAAACATCAAAAGTTGAGATAAACTGCCTGCAGGAAAAACTGAGCAACGTCATGGAAGAACTAAAAAATGTGGACATTTTGTATCAAGACCTCTCCATCCGATATGAAAGAGACATCAGTTCACTTAAAAAATCAGCAGAACGACACCAACGTCAAAGTTTTTCTGTGCAAAATATTGTTGAGTCTATGAATGATTTACCGTCAACCAACACGGCGAGTCCTCAAGAAGAAGAGGAGGAGGAAACATCAGTCGGCCATGTTGACCCGATTAATGATTCAAATGATAACATGGATTCAGACGAGGAACAACCTGGACAATCTGAACCAGAACCAGAACAAGAACCAGAACAAGAACCAGAACAAAAACCACAACAAGAACCAGAACCAGAACAAAAACCAGAACCAGAACAAAA